TCCCCTCCCTCCTCCCTTCTTCCTCCCCCCCCTCCCTCCCTCTCCCCTCTCCTTGCAACGTACGGGTGTGCCGTAGAGGTGGACGACAGTGATCTGGTTGCCCGTAGGCCCGACCACAAACTTCTTCCCGTTGGTGGTAGAGGCCACAAGCTGTGGCGGTGCGGTGTACGGCGCCGCGGTGTTGGCCTTGCCAGAGCACTGCACGCCCTGACCAAGCTCATTCTCCATTGCCATGGCTGTCGCCGAGGCCATAGCCATGGCCATGGTCACCGCCACCACCACCGATGCTATCCAGGTCACGTGCAGCATTTTGCTTCTTCAATTCGGGGGCGTCAGGTGCCACCGCCTGCCAGCGATTGCCGTAAGCTGACCAACAGGGCAAGTCGGAGTGCCACTCACGGTAGGAAATGACCGTCACGACGCCGACGATGACGGGTGGAACCGGCCCTCGGTGGCGGTGTTGGTCGACGTCGACTCGCTGCTTGACGATGCATCGCGCCATACCGGTGGCAGCGGCGAGTACCCCTGTTCGCCTGCCTCGACAAGCTGCTGGCGAAGGAGGACCGCAAGCACGACGCCGACGAGAAAGTAGGGGATGGCGATGATGTTGATGTTTCCACGCACCGCTGCAAAGGCAAGCGTGGTGAGCGCAGAGACGCCAAGCACGACTGCAAACCGCTGGTACAGGTGCATGCGGTAGAGTGTCTCGGCTCGGACGGCGATAAAGCCTAGCGAGAAGGCGATGAGCAGGACGGCGACCGTCAGCACCAGCATCAGAATGTTCGGGCGAGAGCTGTCCTCCTCTTCAGTATCATTGTCCTTTCTCTCATCGTTGTTCTGGGTTGCCAACACCGCCACACCGTACACGCCCAGCCCGACGGTGAGCATCATGGCGAGCACCGTCACCACTTGTGTCGCGGTCTGCAGACCACGGACCCGCTGTAGATCGACCTGTGTTCCCTGCTGCGGCAGCATACCTACACAAGCCCACCCCCAGATGCCAACCACCACCAACCACCGCCACCGGCCGCCACCACGTGTGCAGTGAGTAGCAGCAGCAATCAGTGCATGTTCTCTCCCTCCCTCCCCCTCCTCCCTCCCCCTCCCCTCCCCCTCACCATCCACCCCCATACCCCGCTGCCCCTTCCACACCACCAACACCAACATACTACACAAGCCCCCCGCCCTCGAGTCAAGTGCTGCCACAATCTCTTTCCCCCCCCTCCCCCTCCCTCCTCCTCCTCTCTTCCTTCACCTGCTGACGCCACATTGTTCGCTGGCGAACCTTCACGATGAAAAACAGAACAAAGGCCACCTGTCCCCCCTCTCCCCCCCCCATCCCCATCCCCACCACCATGGCCAAGGCAAAGGGGGGCAAGCCGAGGACCGACAAGGCGGTTGCAAAGGGAGGCAAATCAAGCTCCAAGGGCAAGGCATTCTCCTCTGCCGGTACGGCCAAGGGCAAGGGCAAGGGCAAGGGCAAGGGCAAGGGCAAGAGCAAGGGCAAGTCGTCCCGGTCGGTGCCCCACCCAGACTCGGACAGCTCGTCTGTAGGCTTGGAGCCAGCATACGCCCGCCGGAGCAGCAGGGCCCGCAGCAGCAGCCGTACCCGCCGCCCGTCCAACATTGGCGGTCGTCCTGTCTTCTCCACCGGCCTTTGCAACTGCTGCGCTGATGTGTCGACATGCTGCTACGTGATGTGGTGTCCCGGTTGTGCCCTCATGACCTCGCGCGCCGTCGCCGAGGAGCGTCGCGTCGAGAACGATGACTACGCCTGGGGCTGCGTCATTCAAACGCTCCCACCCACTTTGGTCGTGTGTGGAGGAGTCTTTGGCCTCTCGCTCTCCATCGATGACCGCATCGCTACCATCCGCAAGTATGGCCTCGGCGAGCCCGACTGGAAAGACATGTGCACTGCGCTCTTTTGCGCCCCCTGTTCCGTCTGCCAGAGTTATCGCGAGCACCTCATCCGTCAGGGCGACGCCGCAGACCGGAGCCAGTGTTGCTGCTCTTCAACGTTAGGCCTGTGACCCGCGAGCTACATTCCGTCTGATTCGAGGGTGAACGACTCGGCCCGCGTCGACCGCAGCGGCGAGTCGGCAAACTCGGTCATCGGACTCGCCACGCGGACGTCGCCCACCTCGGCCAAGTGTGCGTGAACCTCACTTCCACCCTCATCGCTCGTCGTAAACAGGTCTGTGCATCCCATCTCGATGCTTGCCATATGGAGTGCCGGCTCAAAGTCGTCGATCTCGCTAGCTTTGGCCTCTCCCCACTCGTCCTCGGCCTCGATCTCAGCCTCAGCTTGCTCCTGCAGCGACGCCCTCACCTCCCAGCCCACACCCAGCACAACAACCAGGACGACCCAGACGAGGCCGAGCACCACCGCAACATGAGATAGGAGGCCGACATCGAATGCACCCGCCATCAACACCACCGCCGCGCCGGCTGCCGCCGCCGTTGCCATCACGTTGTGCGGCGACCAGAGGTAAGGCCCTATGGCCTGGAGCGCCATCGTCGAGATGACAAGGACCATTGCCGCTCCGGCTGCCTTGGTCTTCACTCCGCGTAGCGCCGTGATTGCCATCGCCAGCACCGCCTTCTGGCCCATGACCACCACCTCGAACCAGTACAGATGCGGCTTGAACCGCGCGACAAGGAATGCGTACCGGGCCACAAACGAGACTTCGGCCCGCGTCACGCGCTGCTGGAGGAGGAGCCCAAAGGTAAACGCTGGGATGCCGACCACGTACACGATGACAAAAAGCACGACCACCCATAACGCGCTGTAGTAGCTTTTGTCGTAGCACGAGGTTCCCGGCGCCGCGCTAAGCACCCATCGCCCACCCACCTGCGAGCAGTCTAGGTACTTGAGCGTAGAATGTGCCAGCGGTAGATACATCAGCCCCATCATCTGCAAGTACGATCGCGCACACGACGATTGCAACTGCGCCCGTGTCGCCACACCATCCGCCAGAAGCCGGCGAAGCCGCGACGATCGCCCCAGATCGAGCGCCTCCGCCACCCACATCCCCGGCCCAACGGTCCACAACTGGACGTAGCCAAGTCCTGCGAGGAGGACCACAGCAAAGACGCCCACAAAACGATTGGGAGCGACATGGTCAGGCCCCACTTGAGCAAAAACGGGTTGCGTGCATCCGGAAACGTGCACTCGGGCGCGGCGAGCTCGATGTTGAGCGACGCCAGTGACGTCGCCCGCATCACCAGCCGCGCCGCCTCGTGCCAGTTGAGATCAAGCTCGCCGTACAGCGCCACAATCTGAACCGCGGTGATCGAGATTGAGAGAGCAGCAAAGCCGTAGACAGGCCCTTCGCGTGCGTTGTTCCACACCAGCACGCACGCCAGCCCAATCCCTGCCACTACAAGCAGGATGACTGCGCCCGCGGTCGACTGCGGCGCGCACTTGTGGCACCGCGACGCCAGCCGGTACCACCCGCGAGCACACCGAGCGCACAATTGCCCGCTGTACCCGCGCGCACACTTGCCGTCGCCTGCACACGCCCCGGTCTGGGGACATGCCACAAACGCACCGCCGCCCGGCGCAAACCCGGGGCGAGACCGTGGCGGCACGTCACCACCATCACACACTCCGCCGACCGGACAGGCCATGCAGCCCGGCGCCTCAATCGTCCGTCGCCCGCGTGGCCCACTCCATGCACCAGCACTGCAGCTGCAGTTGAGCACATGCGCCGTCCCCTCCTCTGACTCGCTCAGCGGCGGACAGTCGGTGCAGATCGGCGCGTTGACGCTGTCCGAGTAGGTGTTGCGGGGGCAGAGCTCACAGGTGGTTGCGTCCACTGCTTTGGATCCCGGCGGACACCGCGAATCAACTCGCACAATCCAAGGCGAGCCTAGCAGCGGCACGTTGTCAAATGACGCCGTTACCGCGTAAACGCCGGCGGTAGTCACGCTGTACTTCACGCCGTAGCTTCCGTCACCCCGATCAGTAACTTCTACATCCAGCGCCTCGCCGTCGCGGGTCACGACTACGCTAAGCGCATCGCCACCGATGGCGCGATTATTGCCATACGCGTCGCGCGCGTGAACAACAAACGAAGCCTCGCCATAGTCGGGCGACGAGAGCGAGCTGCCCTCGGCCACCGACTGCAGTCCAAATGCGGGCCCCGGGACAAGGTCGACAGCCAGTGGAGCCGGGAGCGGCTCGGCGTTGACCCCGACCTCAAAGAGGTAGCTACCCGCGATCGTGGACAGCGGCCAGGAGATCGCGTAGTGCCCGTTGGCGCCAGTGTAGGTCGAGACCACCGTTCGCGGCCCTGTGCTTGGCGCTAGCTCGCGGATAAAGATCTCGTCGAGGCCGGTCACCACTGCATTGCCCGACAAATCGCGGACACTCGCGCTCCAGCTCCACACCGAGCCGACAACATGGGTCGAGACGCGCACCGCGGAGATTGTTGTTGTGTTGCCAGAAGCTACCGAGCACTCAAAGTTGGCGATGCCGGACCAGACGCCACTCCCGCCCGCATCGATGCAGACACGAACTGCGGTGCCGACCGGGTTGTAGCCCGGCAGGCAGGCAAATGTCACATTGGCGCCATAGCTGGTGGTGCCGTGGTCAAACCGCATCCCATTAGCTGGTGACGGCTGCACTAGCGGCCCACAATCAATAATCTCACAGCTCGGCACCGGTGCAGTCCACGACGCGTTATCTCCCGGACCCTCGACACCGCAGAGCACGCTCGAGGCGCCGACCAGCGCATAGCCCTCATCGCAACCAAACACCACCGACGCGCCCCACATCGGTGGGCTAGGCGCGCTGCTGGAAAATCCATTAGCCGGCGGCGAAAGCGAGCTGCACGCCCTCAGGCTGCACACCGGCTCATGGCCGGACCAAGCCTTGGAGAGCTCGCACGTCCGGCTCGCCGAGCCGGCCGCGAGGAAGAATCCGGCGTTGCACCCAAATGTGCAAACGTTGCCGGTGAACGGTGCGCACGTTGCAGGCGACACGCTTCCGTCGGTTGGCGGGAGGAGAATGGAGTCGCAGTGTAGAGGATCTGGGCTGCAATCAAAGTCGCTAGCACCGGACCAGTAGTTGGGCGAGCCGACGACGCACGTCCGGGTAGTTGTACCCGACGGCTGATATCCAAGATTACAGGCAAACGTGCAGCTTTCTCCAAGCCCGCTACCGCTGCACGTCTTAGTTCCATCTGCCGGCGGAAGCTGACCCAATGGGGCACACGGAATGGGATCGCAGCTCGGAGAGTTGCCCGAAAAACGCGCACCGTTGCCATCCACCGTGTCACACAGCCGCGACGCCAGGCCGACCCGCTGGTAGCCCTGGTTGCAGCTAAAGGTGGCAGCATCGCCCCATTGCGGCACACCCGGCTGGCTCACACTTCCATCAGCAGGTGGCGCCAGCGAGGGACAGAGCCGAATGTGGCAGCTCGCCTCGGAGCCAGACCAAGCCCCGTTAGTCTGGCACGACCGACTAAACGAGCCCAGCCGGTAATAGCCGGCGGCACAAGAAAAGGTGCATGTCTGAAACGTGACTGGTGGGCAGTTGGACGGATCGACCTGTCCACTGGATGGCGACGGCAAGGCGTTGACGCAGTTGGTTGGATCGGGCACGCACGACAGAACCGAGTCCCACGCGGCGCCGCTGCCCGAGTCAACGCAGGTTGTCGTGCTCGCGCCCGATACGACGTAGCCCTCGTTACAGCTGAGCGAGAGTGTCTCTCCATCAAACCGCCGAATGGCTGGCGACGTAACACCGTTGGCAATGTTGAGGTTGGGACAAGGGCGATCAAAGTGGAGCGTGATGCGGAGCCCGCTGGTGGCTCTAGCGAACGAGGCAGCCGGTACAAAGACGAGCCCCAACTGGCCGTTCCAATCAGACCGATCCACCAGCTCTTGCACAACGGCAACGAGCTCGGGCACGCTCGGTTCAGTCCCAATATAGCCTCCAAAGCCATGGTTCCAGTTGGGGAACGTCTGAACCGTGCCTGTGCGATCCATCTCGGCGGTTGTCCGCGGCAGATCACGAAGCTGAAACGGTGGTGGCGGCACACCTTGAGGCTCGAGCACCAGCGTGCCATCTGCCACACCATAGATGGTGACCAGAGCCCGGTTGTCGTAGAAGCAGCATGCCGAAAAGTCCATCTCGACTCGAGTGATGCGCGAGAAACGAGGAATGTCGGCAAATCCGAGGTTGTTGGGCACAATGTACGCCGAAAGGTAGCTACCAGAAAGGTAGAGGTACGGGCTCTCGTATCGGGACCCGCTCGTGGTCTCTACACCCCAGTGTGGACGGGTGGGACTCGAAGTGTAGCAAGAGACCATGATCGATGCGCCGGAGCAGCCGAGGCCGAAGCTTGCGGTCACCACCAAAAAAGTAGAAGGAAAGCTGCTAGTTCATTGCCGCCACGGTGCCTGCGGCATACGCACGGAGATGAGCCTTTGCAAGCAGTTGGGCAGAGTAAGGCACGTCTGCCGCAAGATGATACACGCCAGCATACCATGTTTGGCAGGCCAAGTATGGCTAGTCTTAGCAAGACGAATGCAGAAAGCGCAAGCGTTGGCGGACTACTGGGCAGTAGCTGGGCTCGGCAGCTACTCTTCCGCGCGTGCCGACGTTTTTTTTTTTTTTTTTCGGCGACAGCCGTCGAAGCGGCAGCGGACGCGGCGGGGCCGTCGGACTCGTCAACGACAAGCTCCGCACCGTCCGCGCCCGCGGCTCCTCCGAATCGGCGCCGTACGGCACCTCGCGCACCTCGTCCCATGCTCCAAGGCGTCCGTCACGGCGGCGGCAACTTGGGCATCCTTCAGGCAGGCGTCTACGTGACGGCCGCCATCACGTGCGGGCACGCCTCCCACCTCAAGCCTCAGACCAAGCAGACGTTAAGCATCATCGAGTTGTTCACTTTGAGACGCATGACAACGCGTCCGAACGATCGTGCTGTTTAGGGATATTTCCCCACAACACTCTCTCACGCCTCCAAATACCGCAGGACCGAGTCCCGGACGACGAGGCCCGAAGCAACTGCGGGGGCGACTTTGACAGCGGCAGGGCCGAGGCCACGGAAGAGGCCACGAATGCCATCAGAGCGGACAATCGAGGTGACTGCATTGGCTGTCGAAGAGTACTGGAATGCATCGGTGCCGAGCTGGAGACGGCGGCGGATGAGGTCGACGGGATGGGTGACGGCCTGGGCGACCATACCGGCAACGACGCCGCAGCCCAGAAAAAACGGAATTGAGTCTGCGAGGCCGTGGATCGATTCGGGGAGGTACGCAGGCGCCCGGGCTTTGAGCATGTCGTAGCTTGCCATCTGGACGGCCATGAACGGCGCGATCGAGCCCAGCGTGGGCAGCAGGCCGCGATAGAGCGAGGAGACGCCACCTTCGGCAACCAGTCTGCGAACCGATGCAGCAACGGTGACATCGTATGCGCCTGTGTGGAGCGTGCCGGAGCGCGAGATGGTCTGGACCGACATGTGGGTGCGGACTACGTCGAGCGGAAAGGTGACAACGGTAGCGGTGACGCCGGCGGTGGCACCGGCTAGCGCGCGCCAGGCTGGCCACGGCTCTCCAGGTGGCACGTCGACGCGCTCAGGCTGCGCCGCGCAGAGCTGCGAGTAGAGGAGACAGACGATGGCGCCAAACGGAACGACTTGTGCAATGCTGGCCGCGTTGCCGCGGAGGAGCCCAGCCCATCCCTCAGAGGCAAGGATGCGGCGGAAGATGCTTGTCGCCCGCGGCGCAGTACCCTCAGACGCCTGTTGCAGGACCTTGATTCGCTCCAGCGGCGCGGTGATTGTCTTGGAAACACCGCCGGCGGCGGCACCTGCAGCGAGGAACTTCCACAGCTCCATGTGGCGCGGCGGGAGGTCTGGCACAAAGTCGTTGCCGACCGAGAGCGAAGCCATCGAAATCAGGTGTGTAGAGAGCGACTGGAGCGAGAGCTCGTCGAGCGCGCCAAAGACGTCCGCAAACTCGGCAAACTCGATCGTGTCCGAGCCGTTGGCATCGACCACGGACATCATGGCCGCGAGCTGCTCGCGCGACGGCGCAAAGCCGAGCGACCTCAGTACTACCATCAGCTCGTCGACTGAGATCGAGCCCGAGCCGTCAGTGTCGATGTCGTCAAAGAGCGACCGAAGATGAACCGCGTCACACATGCGGGTAAACTCGTGAAAGTCGATGCGATCGTCGTGGTTGCGATCGTGGAGGGCAAAGACCCACTCGACCTCTTCCCCTGCGCTTCTTCTCCGCGATACTCTCCGCGCCTGGTCTTCTGATCCGTACCCGCCTCTCGAGTCGAGAAGCTCGAGCGCGCGCCGCAGTTGGTCAATGTTGAGCATGTTCGTGCTATCATCGTCGCACATCTGTGCCCGGGCAATCACAGGTGCGACACGTGCATGAGTCGCCCGCCCGCCCCCCTCATGCACACCTCAACGCTCCGCTAAAGCCAACCTACATCAAAGACAGCACGCAGCCGCTCGAGCTTTGCGGCACGAACAGCGGGAGCTGCGTCGGCCATGTCGGGCTCAACGGCAGGGCTGGACTTGGCCTCAGACACCTTGTTGCGCCAGGCCACCGCAGTCGGCGCAGCCGCAGCCTCGGTCGACAGGACGACGTGCGGCAGGCGTCGGCGGTGACGACGTGTCAAGCAGGGAGCGTGGTTCGTTCTCGCCTCGAGGCGGAGAGGTCGTTGGAGTGGGGTGGGGTGGCGCCGGTGTTCGAGGCTGGGGCTGGGCTTGGACTCTGGCTAGTGTGTGGGTGGCGGAAGCGGTGGCTGCGACGACTCCAACCGGCTGGGCATGGTTGATCCTGGGCCGTTACGTTCAATGGCAGATGCGTCAAGTACATGATCGGTGGGTGTGCCCGGGTGAGTGGAAGTGATGATTGCGGTTCTATGGCTCCAGCGATCGGTGTCGGGCGTGGAGATGAGCAGCAGCTCGGTGCTCGGTCCGGAACGCGAGTCTCCTCACTCATCCGGACGATCCAGCGGCGGAGCCACTGCGTCCGGACGCCAGCTTGCCAAAGCCAGGTACAACCGGATCGGCGCTCCAGGGCAGGCTGGCGCCGTTCTGCCACTCGGTCCATGCCTTGACCAGGTTCGTGCCACCCAGTCCGATGCAGATGGCGGCGACGACGGCGCCGAGCGGACGGGCAGCCTTTGACGCGGCAAATGCCTTGGGCCGGACCACCACGTCGCGGGCGAGATACAGGCCGACCGACGTCACGATAGTCCCCGAGGTCAGTGCACAGAGCATGCAGTCAGGCTCGCGCTCGTCTTCCGTCCCAGCGTCCATGCCCAGTCTATCAACCGTGCCCAGCCCCGCGGCGGTCTGGTCTGGTCTCGTCGCCATGCTCTTCCGCCGCTGCGAGAGCCGTGCCTCCTCGTCCGTCACCCACACCCACCTACACCCACCTACACCCACCCAAGCACCCAACCACACATCGCAATCTTCCACCACTCTGCGGTCGCATGTCCCCAAACCACCAAAGTCCGATTTTAGGACGTGCAACCCCTCATCGAACCCGGGTTCCATGGCGTCGCCAACACCAAAATGGCGCACAGCTGCACGCAGGCCGCCATCGTCGCTCAGTCCACATCTCATCCCACACATCACACCATGTCCAAGCCGACCAACTGGGATGACTTTGAAAAGCTCATCCACGCAGCCATGTACAACGATCTCCGTGTGGCACCCGAAGAGCGCCCGCTCCTCCTCGCGGCGCCGACGGCCCTCGACATGCGCGCGCTCACCAAGATGGCCCAGATCGCGTTTGAGACCTTTGGCGTGCCAGCGCTGTGGATGATCCAGTCGGCCACGCTCGGCGTTGTGGCTGCAGGCTCGGTGACCGGCTTGGCGGTCGAGTTTGGCGCGCGCTCGGTTACGGTCACGCCGGTCTTTGACGGCTACGCCATTTCTGCCGCAACCGTCATGGTGCCCATCGGTGGCGATCTCATCACAGACCACCTCATGCGGCTCCTGACCGAGCGCGGCTACTCGTTCACCACGACAGCTGAGCGTGAGATTGTCCGCGACATCAAGGAGAAGCTCTGCTTTGTCACGCCCGACTTTGAGGGCGAGCTAGCGCTGGCCGCTGATGGCGGCGCCGGCCCCGACAGCGAGCGCACTTACGAGCTTCCTGATGGCCAGGTCATTACCATCTCTTCGGAGCTCTTCCGCGCACCCGAAATCCTGTTCCGTCCGGCCCTCGCCGGCGTCGAAGCCGTCTCGCTCCCCGACGCCATCCTCGTCGCGGTCATGCGCACAGAGCCAGAGCTTCGCCGCGAGCTCCTCTCGCGCATCGTCATCACTGGCGGCCCCAGCGCCACCCGCGGTCTCGGCGACCGCATTGAGCTCGAGCTGGCCCGCATCCTTCCCGACGACGTCATCTCGCACGTGGTCACCTCCTCGGCTCGCGAGAGGAAGTACGCCACTTGGATTGGCGGTTCGATCATCGGCTCCCTCACCGCCTTCCACTCTCATATCATCACCGCCGATGAGTTCAATGCCTGTGGCCCCGCCAAGGCTGTTGCGCGCCGGATGTGGTAAAGCATAGCCAAAGTCCTTGCACATGCTTGCCACACGCGTGCGTGACCGCAGCACGTGCCACAATCGGCAGTCCACGGCACATCCACAGCTGCCCCACCACTCGCTCGCCTTTGTTCTCCGGGACGCCCTGGAGTGTCCTTATCCGCACCTCCTCCGTCCGCCTCCCCCGTCCCCCCCCCCCCCTTCCTTGCCGTCCCTAACCCCACCCACTCCACCTCCACCTACTCCACCGCTACTCACTCCACCCGCCACCTCCGCACCACCCGCACCGCACATCGTCGCAGCTCCGCGGAGTCCTTGGTGGCTGGACAGCGCGGGAAAAAAAACTAGCCTTTGCTTGATCTGTCCTCAATTGATCGTATAATTGACCAGTGACATTGAGCCCACCCGTTGCAACTCCTCTCGACTGCTTGTGGATCCTCCGCCATGGGTTGCGGCTCGTCCAAGAAGCAGGGCCGGGCCGGACCACAAAGGCCAACCGGTGCGCGGGAGACTGCTACCACCCAGCATCATGAGGACCAACCGTCGTACTCGTTGTCGCTCACCTCGGCCGACTCAGGTACGCTCTCGAGCTCAGAGTCGAGGTTGGCCCAGGACTCGCGTCGTCGCTCTTCGGCACGCGCGGCAGACACGCGCCAACACACCGCCGGCCCAGGCACCGCATTACGATCGAGTCAGACGAGCTCCAGTGGCTCGGAAGACAGCAGCGACAATGCCGACTCGTCTGACGCTCTGGCAAGGCACCGGAAAGCATGGAACGAGGGCGTCGACCACTCATCAGAGTCCTCGGTCATGTTTGTGACCGACGAGGCCGGTGAGGAGGCCGTCGCTGCTGCGCGGTTCACCGTTGGTGGCCGCGTTGTCGACGTTACCAGCCTTGCGGCCTCCTCGCGCGCAAAGTCACCTGAGCCCGACGAGCTCTCGGGCCTGCCAGGTCTCGATCCGGCGCTGCTGCTCGAGAACGCGTCGACCGTCCCGCTCCCTCCAGCACGTGACGTTGTTGTTTATGACTCGACGGATGCATCGGCGCCGCTCGCGCCTGTCAAGGGCCCCAAGCCGCGGGTAGCACCCTTTGACGCCGCATCCTCGCATTTTGCCTCGCTCTTGCCTGACGCCCGCGCCGCACTTGACGCACTCGCCGCAGCCCGCGCCCATGCCGGCCTCGCCCCGCTCTTTTTGACGACGTTCTGGCTTCGGGCGCGATGGCCCACGCCCAGTACATTGCCGCCAACGAGGCCCATGGCGAGAGTCGCCACCTGCACTACGAGCTCGAGCACCGCGCAGGCTACTCCTCTATCGGTGACGACGTCGCGCGAAAGGCTGCTGTTGCTGTGGGCTCCTCGGGCGTCGCCGCCCTCGCCACCGGCGTGCTCGCCGATCCCGACGCCCGCGCCAAGGTCTTTGTCCGCCACCCGTCGCGCATCGGCCTCGCCACCGTTCCGCTCGCCACTCCGCGCACCGGCCTCACCGGCGAAGTTGTCCTCGTTGTTGTCCTCGCCGCCATCGACGGGCCGGAAAAGACAGAGTTTGCCGCCCTCCCGCGCGTTGTACCCTGGCCGCCTCCCGAAGCCCGCAAGCTCCACCGCGCCTGGCGTCCGCTGCCATCCGATGCCCCGACCGCTCTCCGCGCTCATTCCTTTCATGCTGCCCTTGCCAACCTACCGGGCTTCTCGCCGGACGCCACCCTCGGCTACCCGATCACTCTAGCGCTTGCGCCGGCTGACGCCGCCGACCTCATCGACTGTGCCGCCCACATTGCGGCCGTCACTGCCGAGCCCGGCGCCTCGCGTGCACCGACTCCCCTTGACGCATGGGTCCTTGCCCCTTCGCCGCGCCTCGCCAACGCCCGGCGCTTCTCACCGCTACCAGACACCATCGTGGTCATACCCACTTGCCCGCTGCCGGTCAACGCCCGCGTCGACGTCGAACTCACGCTCTCATTTGCCTCGGCACCCGAGCTGTGTCTCAGCTGGTCGTTCACCACCCGCGGCCACGCCGAGTTTATCGTCAACGCCCATGCCAGCTTTGAGACCTCGCCTCTCACCACGCTTGCTTCTGTCCTCGCGGCCTCGCTCGCACTGCCACTTCGAACTGACGTGCCCGCTCAGTGCGCACACGGCGACTCGCAGCTCGTGGCGAGCGGCGAAGAGGTGACCATTCGGTTCGGTCCTGGCATCCACGACCTCAGCCCGTGGTTTGCCAATGCCTCGGCACCACCGCTAGTCTCGACTTCGCGGTCGCTCGTCCTTGTCGGATGCGATCCCGAAATCGGCGAGTCGGTACTGGTCGTTCCGTCGCGCGCGGCAGACACGAGTTCGGCCATCACTCCGCTACCTGTGATTCGCCTGCTGTCGCCATCGCACCTTCGTCCGTGCGTCGAAGTCCGCAACATTGCCTACCGTGGCCCAAGACCGCTGCTGGACGTCCCCAACCATTCCCGTGTAGTCCTCACCGGAGCCTCAATTTCGTCCACTGTTTCGAGTGTAGCCTGCGCCGGCAGCGGAGCAAGCTTCTCGCTCCGCTCGGTCCGCATGGTCGACATCGGCCCCAAGCGTGCACCCGGTACCAAGCCGCCTCCACTCTTTGCCACCCGTCCCGGCGCCACGATCTCGACCGTTCTCGTTGGCTCGCGCAATTGGTTCCATCACGTCGGCGCCGAGTGGCATACATTCGAGTGGCAGAGCGACCCCGACGAGCCTGACATCACCTCGGCCACGCTACAGCTCACCGCCAACCCGCCGTCTTCCGGACCGGTGCCGGGCAACGATGCAAGCACCAAGCAGACACAGATCGAGCTCTACGAGTGGGTCTTTCGCATCCATTCGGCGACCAACTTGCCGCAGATGGACCGATTTGGCTCGTGCGACGCTTTTGTGGTGCTCCTTCTCAACGGCAAAGAAATTGGCCGAACGTCCGTGGTCTCCAATTCATGTAACCCGGTGTGGCCAGAGACCGAGCCTGGCGGCGAGATTGTGGTCTCGGGCCGTACTGGGCACAGGCTCACCTCATCGCACGCCCGACTCCGCCTCGAGGTCCGCGACCACGACCGCGGCTCGAAAAACGACGCGGTTGGCTGTGTTGAAGCCAAGGCCTGTGAATGGGCGTCTGGCTCCGGCTTTGTGCCGCGCGAGTACGCGCTCGAGCCGCTGCCCCGGTCATCTGAGTCGTCAGACACCAGCTCCAACGCCGACCAAGAGCTGGGATCTATTGTGGTTTCGCTGGCGCGGCGCCCGGTCACCGCGGCCGCCAAGCTTGTTACCTCGTTTTCGTCGGTCTCGCTGCCGTCGCCGACAAGTCCTGTTGCGCCGCCGTCGTCGTCGTTTTCCGAGTGCGACGAGACATCTGGTTCGGTCCCGTTCGCACATTGGCGTGTGGGCGTCGCTGCCGTGGTGCCTCTGGTCCATGAGCTTGCCGACGTGCTTGCCCTCGTCTCCCCGCGGGACGTTGTTCACATCCTGCCCGGTCGCCACGCTCTTGCTGCTCCCGTGGTCATCCCGGTCCCAGATCTCACCATCATGGGCGCGTCTAAGGCGTGTGTTTTTGAGCCACGCGCCGCTGCTCCGGGCTCTCCGCTTGTTTTGGTGCCTTCCTCGGCCTCGCCGTTTATGATGTCCGAGGTGACGCTGGACATGGGCAAAGAGGCATGCTCCGCTCCGCTGTACCTCATGCCTGGTGCAGTGGCCCATCTGGCGCAAGTGACGACGCTCTCGCGCGGAACCGGCCTCCTTGCCGCGTACATGATCGAACCAGGCGCCAAGCTCTCTGTCGAGCTCTGCGACTTTACCCGCATGTTCACTGATCATGTGGCGTACGTCCGCCCGCTTCCGCCGCGTTCGCCTGGCCTCGGACTCCCCGGTGCGTTTCTGGACGGTGGCGGCAACATGTGGAGGATGCGCGGCTCCCTAGTGGCCGGCGACGTCTCGCGGTCGTCCAAGTCGATCTCGCAGCGGACCGGCCGGCTCATCTCGACCGCGTCCGACGGCGGCACCGTTACTGTCACCCGCGGCAAGTCGAGCACCGGCTCGAGCTCGGCTCCAGGCGAACCGGTCTCGGGTGTGGTGTGGGACGTGAGCTCAGACGCCGAGTTTGCTTTTGCCGCTGAAAAGTTTGGCGATGGTGACCACCTAGTCCTCGCTCCCGGTACCTACGAGCTGACCGAAGCGATGTGGATTGGCAACGGGCTCTCCTGCGTAGTGCGGTCGTCGCGGAAGACTCGCAAGGCCGACGCTCGCGTCGTCCTTAGCCGCGCCAAAGGCAGCGTTGCTCCATTTGCCTCGGTCGAGTCCAGGGGCCAACTGACGTTGGAAAACGTGACTCTCGACAACAGCGGCGACGACACTCCGGCGTTTGTTATCGATGGCGAGGGCTCGGAAGTTGTGCTGAAGCACGTCGACGCTCGCCGGTTCGGCAACGCCAAGCTTGGGCTCGGCGTTGTCGGTGCTGGCGCCACACTTCGTATTGAGGGCACGTTTGACTTTGTCACTTTCGCCGGTCCACACCTCGCCCACGTAGCGGGCCCCTCGCCCGACTCGGGTGCCGACGCCGGAGCGCTTGTGCTCGCCCCAGGCGTGTACCACGGGCGAGCGCCGCCGGTAAGCGGCGACGTGCGGAACGTCAGTCTTGTCGGCTCGGCGTCGTCATCGGAGCATGCCACCACATGGCAGGTGGCGGTGGAGCCCGATTCTGAGCGGGAACATACGCTTCAGGCCGTCATGGGCCTCTACTCACACGGCGACACCATCGCCATGGCCCCGGGCCGGTACGAGCTCCAGCACGAGCTCGAGTTTGCACGCGGGCTTGATGTCTCGATCGTGGCAACTGGCGAGGTGGTCGTTGTCCGCGGCGCAAGCAATGACGACGCGCTCTTTGGGACCGGGCCGGGTGCCCAGGTGACCTTTGGCGCAAATGGCCGCGGGGCGCGGCTTGTGCTCGACAATGCAGGTTCGTTGCACCCGATGCTCAACGTGGCAGCCGAGACCCTTGTCTCGCTTGACAGCGTCGTGCTGGCCAACATGGGCAAGTCGTACTTTGCTCGGATAGAGCCGGGCGGCAAGCTCGAGCTACACGCCGTCGACCTGACCCGCTACACATCTCCATTCCTCGCCTACGCCGTCGACACTTCGGCAACGATCGCCGTCGACAACCACGCCGTGACCTGGGGCGACACGCGGCCGGTGTCCAACACGGACTAGCCGCGCTCACGCCAGCAGCACCAGCAGCAGGAGGAGAATCGAGTGGGAATAAAAGACGAATTGCTCTTGCTTGCTCTTTACACCTCGCCTGCAGTGGTGGGCAGCTTGAGGGCGGCGTCGCCCGACATGATCTTGACAAAGTAGTAGTAGAAGAAGTCGCCAAAGAGCGCGGTCTGCACAAAGCCAGCGATCCAGGCAATCCAGTTGGAGTAGTACGGCTCTGTGGCGTAGCGGTAGACCCAGTTGACAAGGTACAGGGCACGGTAGCCGCCGACAGCAAACATGTAGTGCGACGAGAGCGAGTCGGCCTCGCCGGTCTCGATGAGCAGCATAAGCTGCGGCATGACCGCCACGGCCTCGAGGTAGATGGAGAAGGTCCACAGGATCTCCAGAATGGTAAACTGTGCATTAAAGATGAGGGCAAGGACGGCGCACGGCGCAAGAATGTGCCACAGCACAAAGGTGTCGCGCGCATCGTCCGACGTCGACTTGAGCTCGGTCCGCATCAGGTACACGATGTAGTAGCTGGCGGCAAGGAACAGGATCTTCATAAACGTGTTGTACAGCGTGAGCCCTGTGATGTGTGCAAAGTTGAACGTGATCATCATGCCCAGCACGTGGAACAGATCCAGATACCGGCAAGTGAACACGAGCGTGTACATCAGCTGTGTCTTGAACGAGATGCCCTTGCACGACTTGGTAGCCTTCATCTTGAAAATGAGGATAAAGAAGCTGTACTCGTCACATGACCCCCAGTCCCCCCCACACACACCATTTCCCCCGTCGCCCGTAGTCGCCATACTATGTAGTGAGTCTCTACCCCTCCCCCCTCCCCCTCTCTCCCCCCTCCCCATCCCTCCCCCCTCCCCCCTCGCCCCTCACCCCCTCGTCTGCCAGTGACGTCGCCAAAAACCGCCACCCACCGACCGCCCACCCGCATTGCTGAGGAGGTGCCACCAGCCACGTTCCACATGCCACCACTACGCCTACGCTAACCCCTTTCCCCCCTGATACCACCCATTGTCATACCTGGCAAGGTGCAGCAGGTCTGCCGAGATGCGGAAGATGTTCATGCTGCCACTCGTTCTTGGCGCCTGCGACAAATGTCTGTCTCACTTTGCAGAGAGCCAGTGGCTGCCGACTGGCGCGGTGACGGAGAGGAAGAAGCAGCGGAGGGCGTGGAGGATGGATAGCAAGGGCGGGGATGACAAGTGATGAACGGATCGTGTGCAGTGGGCATAGTTACCGTTGTGAATGTGATAGTTTGGGAGGATAAAGTAGAATCAAGACTCGGCATGAGTATGGCGATTGGGCCTTCAGCCGTAGCACCACCGGTCGCCGACCTCAGCTGTGTAGCTGGCCCCACCACGGCCGCCACTGTCACCCCACACGCGCCAGTGGCCATGACCTGCCACGGCTGGGTTGCCCAATGCCAGTGGCACTGCGACAGCCACTCGACTGCGCGAGGAAGAGCGGCTGAGAGGAGGGTACGTGGACATGGGTGTAGAGCATGGGGGGGGATGGGGGTTGGGAGGGAGTGGGGGAGGGAGGGAGGGAGGGAGGGAGGGGCATGTCACGCGGAGGGGGAGGGGAGGGGCGAGGGATGGACGTGGCCTTCCTGCCCTTCCCTCCCTCCCCCACTCCCTCCTAACCCCCCCTCTTCACCCATCCCCCTTCACACACCAACTGGCTATACAGCAGACTCATTGACAGGTGGGATGTTCTGGATGGATGGCGGTGGCTGGTACTGGTGTGGGCGTGGGCTGGACTGGGGGTGGGGTGGGGGGCGTGGCGGACAGGGGATACGAGACAGCGACCGGATGCGCAAGGCTGTCCAGCGGCATGTGCTATCGTTCATGGGCACTCGGTGTGGGGTTGTCACGTGTGTGATCGGCACTCTGCTGACAGTCAACACGGTGCTGGTGCTTGCGGCCATGCTCGCGGCGCAGTGGTCAGGCACCGGCACGGCCTCCCCACCGCCGTCTTTCTTCTCGCTCTTTGCGTCGATGCTCGGCCTCGGCTGGGCCGCGCCAGCGTCGTCGAGCAACCTACCGCTGGCCTCATGCTCCTCGGTTCTCACCGATAATCTTGCCGGCAAATCATTTGAGCACGCGCTCTGCTCGCCCATTCCCATCGACATTGTCTACACCTGGGTCAACGGCTCGGACACCAAGCTGCTTGACGATCTGGCCCACTACAAGGCCTTGTTTGCCGAGATGTACCCCGAAGCCGCGGCAGCCGAGGCCGAGGAGGCTGAAGCCTTGGCAGCCGCCGAGGCCGAGGCTGCGGCCGAGGCGGCAGCCTTGGCGGCCGCGGCCGTCAACGGGACTGGCAGCGGCAACGCGACTGAGGTCAAGGCCGCCGGCGCCTCGCGGTTCCGTGACAACAATGAGCTCATGTACTCGCTGCGGTCGATCGAGAAGTTTGCGCCGTGGATCCGCCGCATCTTTATCGTCACCAACGGGCAGGTCCCGTCGTGGCTCAACATCGATCACCCCCGCATCGATGTCATTCCGCACGAGGACATCTTCCCCGACCCGTCGCACCTGCCGACCTTTTCGTCGCCGGCCATCGAGGTCCATCTCCACCGAATCCCGGGCCTCTCGGACAAGTTCATTTACTTCAACGACGACGTCATGTTCGGATCCGAGGTCTGGCCCGATGACTTTGTGACTCATGCCAATGGGCAAAAGGTGTACCTAGCGTGGGCAGTGCCGAATTGCAACGAGGGCTGTCCGGCGTCGTGGATCAACGACGGCGTGTGTGACACGGCATGCAACGTCTCGGCATGTGACTGGGACGGAATGGACTGCGTCAACGTCACCTCGACTTCGCGCTACTCGTCATGGTGGTCCGGCTCGTCGTGGTCTTCATCGTCGTCGTCGGCTGCCCGCTACTCGAGCTACTGCGCACCCGGGTGCCCGGACTCGTGGATCGGTGACCGCTACTGCGACAAGGCGTGCACCAACGAGGCGTGCGGCTGGGATGCGACCGATTGCGGCGTCGACCGCATGGTCAACGAGGGCATGTTTGGCGTCGAGGCTACCGACGCTTCTGCCTTTCCACTCACTGTCCCGCCACACACTCCGGCCATGTTTGTCAACCTGACTTTGCTCTTTGGCCATGACGGCCACGTCGACGAGGGCTCGCATGACAACTCGGACATGGTCCGCACTGCCACCATTTCGCAGCGCAACAAGATCATGACGCTCACTTTCCACCGCGACGTCAACACCACTGGCGTGACCCTGTTTGTCGCCGGCAAGGCTGCCGACGGCTCGACTGTTGCCGCCACCCTCAACATCACTGTCTCTACCGGGCCCGACACCCTGCCTGCTGCTGATGTCGCGACAGCCAGCGACGACGCAAGCGTAGCTGTCGACGCCGGCTCTGCGCCAGCGCCGAGCCACAGCACCGACGATGGGGCGTTGGGCGACGAGGCCGAGCCGGGCTCTGCGCCGGCACCCGACCAGGGCGCCGACGGGGGGCGTTGGACGACGAAGTCGAGCCAGGCTCTGCGCCGGCGCCCAGGCGCGGCGAAGCGGATCCACCGAGCTCGGTGCCAGCCTCTGATGGCGGCAGCGACGCGAAGGCCGTGGACGACGCATCGGATCATGACGCGTCGGGACACGACCTGAGGCGGCGACTGTTGGCAGCGCCGACAAACCAAGACGGCGGTGCCAACAAAGAGCCGAACGTGCTCTCCAACGCGCTGGCGAGAGTGGGTGCGTGGGTTGAAGCAGCCGGCGGCGGCGCCAGCAGCAGCGGCGGCGAGCCGCGACTTCCGCCGTTGCACAACAATCGTCTTGTGCCCCGCGGACAACCAAGGAGCCGGCCGCACATCAAGGCTGCCATCGCACCGTCGGATGTTCTGTTTGGCGACGAGGCCGAGGCTGAGGAGAACGACGCCGACCTGGTGACTCGCATCGAAGCTGTCAAGGCCAAGTACGCGGCGTGGGAGGCTGAGCAGGCTCAGCTACGGGACAAGTACGGTGACGAGGTCTATGAGTCGGCAGTCGAGCTGGCGACGTCGATGTGGAGCTCGGAGCGGTCGTTTCTGCCGTGGGAGCGCCGCGAGTCGATGCTCCGGTCGGCGTGGCGGGCGGCGGCGATGGGCGTGCCAGACGAGGCGGCCTCTGCCAGCAGCGCCAGCTCGTCGGTGCTGCGGCGGCACCTGACAGACGTCTTTGGCGACTCGCTCAAGTTTGTCAACAGGCTCTTCAACGCGCGGTTTGGCATGGCGGCACGCAAGGTGCCTGCACACATGCCGCACATGATCGACCGCAACATCATGGAGCGGCTGCAGAGCCTGTTCCCGGACGAGTACGATGCGACGTCGTCGCACAAGCTGCGGATGGGAACCGACATGCAGATGGCGTTTTCGTACTTTTACTTTCTCATGGAGGAGAAGCGCGAGTTTGAGCTCGAGCAATACTTTCACGAGCACATTGACGTCGATGCCGACGGCTACATGTCAGACAACGAGCTGCGGACACTTGCTGCGCGGATTTACGAGCTCCCACTCGACTACGGCCAGCTCGGAGAGCTGCATCAAGCCATGGAAGAGGCATACGAGGTGGTCCATGGCGTGCCAGTGGGCGAGACCGGCCCGGAGCTCGGGTTCGATCTCCAGGTGCTCTCGGCGGCGCCTGCAGTTGTCGACCGCATCATGGACCACATTGGCGAGCTTCTGCAGAACCGGTTCGAGATCAAGGATACCGACGACGTGGCGTTCCAGATGATCGGCGACAACGAGACCGATGTCAACCGGGCGCTCGACGGCATCCGGCGCAACCGCCACAAGTTTGTCTGCCTCAACGACAACATGGACGACGATTCAGCGAACCCGCTTGTTGTGCAGGCTCTGCAAGACTTTTACAACTCGGTCGTCCCCTTCCCCTCGCAGTTTGAGCACCCTCCCGGCGTCCGCAACCGCTACCTGTACATCCAAGAGTATCGGGCCGAAGCTGAGCGGTCACGCCAGGCGCGGATGCTCGGCGTCGGGCTCGCTGTCCTTGTTGTTGCCGTCTGGGTCTGGCTCAACTACTGCACCGGTGACGACGCACTCTCGCGCAACAAGCGCCGCCGCGCGCTGGCAAAGTCCAAGCAGATGCTGGACGTTTAACGCTGTAAATCCCTCACCAGAGTTGCTTCCTGGGCCTCAATGCCACATGTTCATTTCATTTGGACTTGAGTGCGTGGACAAGCCAGTCGAGCCCCTCATCAATGCCCACGCCCTCGATGGCTGAGGTCTTGAAGATCTGCCATTGGCGGTCGCGGATACGGGCAAGGCCGAGCGCCTCGGTCACCTCGGCCGGCGTGAGTGCGCCGTCGACATCCTGCTTGTTGGCAAAGACAACCAGCGGAACACCGTTGAGGTCTTCTTCTTCAAACATGGCCGTTAGCTCCTCTGCTGAGATGCCGATGCGCTCGCGATCCGACGAGTCTACCACGTAGATGAGCGCGGAGGTGGCCTCGCCAAAGTAGCACCGCCAGTACGGCCGGATCGAAGCCTGCCCGCCCAGATCCCAGACCGAGAACGTGACGTTCTTGTATGTAACCTCCTCCACATTGAAGCCGATAGTGGGGATGGTGGTCACCACCTCTCCGCAGTGCATCCGATACAGGATGGTCGTCTTGCCCGCGTTGTCCAGCCCCAGGATGAGAATGCGCATCTCCTTCTCACCCCACAGCTTGGAGAGCATCGACGTGAAAAAGTTACCTGTCCATCATTGCCCGCAACCCCCCCCCCCCGCCCCCGCCCACGCGCAAAGAGCCCAACCCCCATCCCCATCCCCGTTCCGCTCTTGTGTGAGTGCCCTGCTACCTTCCTTCCCGTCGCTGTGCCCGCCCACGTCACGCCCCCCCTCCGTCTGACCCCCCCCCC